CCATCTGAATTATACTTCACAACAAACACCCATTTGCATCCAACTGTCTTCTTGCCATTTGGTAGTGACGTAATACTCCAAGTTTTGTTCTTTTCAAGAGCTTTCATCTCATCAAGTACAACTTTCCTCCACTTTGAAATTTCTAGAGCAACCTATACACTTTTTGGAATTTCTACGCCAAACAAATTTGAGGTGAAGGTAGACATGGATGAAGACAAATTTGAATATGATATAAAATTGGACATGGGGTGTTTAGTCCAAGATCGAACATGTTTTCTAATGGCAACAGGATCATCTATATCAGGATACAAAATACGACTCTCAGATACAGAGATAAACTTACCTTTTCTTTTGTTAGGAAGTTGATCATTCCCCAGTTCAGATTCCTGACAGTGTTGAGATGTGGACTCATCCCTTCCTTTATGATGCCTTTTTTCAAATACCTTTCCTTTCCAAGTCCTGTTTCCTAATCCAAATCTGTTTTCTTGGAGTGACTCATTATTTTGTGGCATTTCAAATAGATCATCGTTATCATTGTTTTCAGAATTCTCATTATTTTTTACTAGAGAAAATGTAGGCTCGGATTCACAAGGTTCCTTACTCATAACAGGAGTAGGATCAGATAAAGAATCATGGTCATTTTCGGTTGGTGCATGTGTAAAAGTCTCAGAATTTTGTGATACTAGTAAAGATAAGCTATTTAAAAAACTCATGTCCTCAATTTGAAACGAGTCTTCGTTTATCTTCCCTCCTTGAAGATGAGTGTCATCAAAAAAAGATTTATTTTCAAAGAGTGTAACATCCATAGTGACAACCATTTTCTTATTTTTTGGATCAAAACATTTATATCCTTTTTGCGTTGGGGAGTATCCAACAAAGACACATTTTAAGCACGTGTTTCATGTTTTCCAACATTTTTATGTTCATGAACAAAGGTTGTGCAACCAAAGATTTTTAAAGTCAAATAAGTTAAAACACGAGTACTAGGAAAACATTCTTTGAAGACATTAATTGGAGTTTGAAAATTGAGAATTTTGGAGGGCGTTCTGTTAATTAAATACGTAGCTGTTAAAACAGCTTTGTCCCACAAATAATTTGGTACTTTATTCGAAAAAAGTAAAGCTCTAGCAACCTCTAGTAAATGTATTTTTTCTTTCGGCCACTCCATTTTGTTGAGAAGTATTAGGACAAGAACTTTGATGTACAATCCAATTTTTTAGAAAAAAATCATTCAGGATAATGTTAAAATATTCTTTGCCATTATCACTTCTAAAGACTTGGATATTTATTTGAAATTGGTTCTGCACCATTAAAAAAAATTCTTTACATCCGGACAAACATCTGATTTTCTCTTTAACAAGTACACCTAACATACTCTTGTATGGTCATTTATAAATGTGATAAACCATTTTTTGAGAGAGTGTACTTGTACAATTAGGGCACCAAACAACACTATGAATAATAAAAAGCGGTTTTGATGGTTTATAAGGCTGTATTAAAAATTGAGAATGATGATGCTTTGCAAATTCACATGCTTCACATTTAAACGAAGAAAAATTCTTATTGTGAAATAACTTAGGAAACAAGTTTTTTCAGTAACGAAAACTAGGATGACCTAATCTTAAATGCCATACTATAATGTTGTCATATTTATTATTCAAAACAGAAAAAGACTTAAAGCAGGAACTTATTGTTAAAGGTAGTTGTGATGTAGATCCAATGTCAAGGTAGTAGAGTCCTCCACTCTCCTTAGCACTGCTAATCATCTTCCCTAAGTTCAAATCCTGAAAGACACCGTGAGATCGGAAAAAATTAGTTTGACAATTTATATCTTGGGCTAATTTACTGACAGATATTAAATTACATGATAAGTTTGAAACATGAAGGACATTTTTAAAAGTTAATATTGGAGACAACACAACCGACCTTTTACCTACAATGGCTGAAAAAGAGCCATCTGCAATTTTTATTTTTGGATTACCTGCACATGGACTATATGAAGAGAACAAAGTAGATTCGCCTGTCATGTGATTAGAGGCACCTGAATGTACTATCCATATATGACCGAGACTGACGCTAAGAAATGCAGAATTACCTTTTGTTGTTATAGAGTTAGAAGGGGTTGGAGACCCGAGGAGTTTGTACAATCTATCTAGTTGTTCCGTAGTAAGTGGAAGCTGAGTTGTAGGGAATTGCTGCCATTGATCAGAATTACTAGCCTGAAATGCACGGCCACCTTTCTTCTTCCAGTTAAGAGATTTGCCTTTGAGCTTCCAATAAGTTTCACGTGTATGCCATTCGCACTGGCAGTGATCACACCAAGGAACTTTACCTGACATTCTTCCCTCGTCAAGGTTCCTAGTAGCCAGAGCTGAACCTTCAGATTCAGAGCTTTGTGGTGTCTTTCCCATCATAATTCTTTGTCGTGCCCCCTCCCTTCTTATTTCTGCAAAAGTTTCACGAAGAGTTGATAATGGTGTTTTTCCTAAAACTTTACCTCTTACCTCATCAAGGTCTTTATTGAGCCCAGCGAGAAACATGAATACACGATCATTCTCTTGCCTCTTGAGAAACAAAACACTGTATTTTGTACACCTCCAATTGTCATCATAATAGAGATCCAACTCTTGCCACAGTGTCAACAACTCATTGTAACAGTTACACTCCTGTTACCTTGTTTCACATGCCATAACTTTGATTTTAAACCAAACATTTGGGAGGAGTTTTGAATATCAGAGTATGTTTTCTTTACAGCTTCCCACACATCCTTTGCGGAAGGAAAAAACATGTAAGGCTTACATATTCCAATTTTCTTAGAGCTTATCAGCCACGCAATAATCAAAGAGTTTTCAGACTTTCGTTGTTTGTAACGAGGATCTCCTGATGTCGGTTCAGCTACTACTTCTGTTAAGAAACTAAGTTTCCCTTTTCTATCCAACACCAACCGAATGGTTTGAGCCCATTTACCATAGCTATTCCCATTCATTTTAGGGATATTGACCTTGAGGGAATATGAGGAACCCTCTTTATCATTACCGCATATGTTGGAATAACTATCACCAAAAATAATGTTTCTGTTTCCATTGTTGTCGTCATTACTGCCAAAAACAATGTTGTTACTGTCTTCATTGTTGCCGTCATTACTGCCACTGTTTGTGACCACTGACGGTTCCTCTCGTACGCCATCTCCGTGACCACTGACGGTTCCTCCCATACGCCATCTCCGCGACCACCGCCGTTTCTCGGCCACTTCCATTTCCGCGGCCACCTCCGTTTTCGCGGAAAACGCTCGCCTCAAGTTGCGGTTGTTCGCCATGGTTGGATCTGGTTTAGGCCTGTGATGGGAAAGACCACTTGTTGTTATTTGCCATAGGAGACTAAACATGTATGTGAATCGGATCAGGTAAGAAAGCGGGTTGCAACAGAAACCCCACTAGTTGTGGAAAGCTTTACAATAATCCCTATAACCCAGAACTCTCGATACCATATTGGAAGAAATAGATAAAAGTTGTTATGTTTATTCCTCAATCAAAGGCTGACTTATATAATGAGAATACAATGAATACACTTAATTCTCTCTTTAATAGAGAATAAAAGAAAATAAATGAAAATAAACAGAAACAATTAAATAAAAAAAGAAATTATTTTCCAATACTCCTTAATGAAATGCCTAACAATCTCTACATTTTCTATTCTATCATGCTGAACTGGATTCTTCGCAATGCTTATATCAACGATGTTGTCACATAATATCCTAACTGTGTAGTTGGTATGGTAGTAATTATTATTTCTTCCAGCATTCTCTTAAGCCAAATTCTTTCACAAATACTGTGTCATAACCCCGAATTCAACTTCTGCATTATTCCTTGCCACAGCATGTTGTTTCTTACTTTTCAAGTTATCCCACGCAAATGTACTATAGTGGATTTCTTGTCTGATACATATCTTGCCCAATTACAATCAGTGTATACTTCAATGTCTCTGTTTGAGTTCTTACGAAAATAGAGTCCTCTAGTTGGTGTATATTAAGGTATTGGAGGATTCTATTCACCGTTTTTATGTGAGTTTTAGTTGGGTTTGATATGTAGCGACTAGTCATGCTTACAACAAAGCCAATGTAAGGCATGGTATGAGTCATAAAGATTAGTTTTCAACTAGGCTTTGATATGTGCCTTTACCCGCTGGCGCGCTCTTTTTGTCACTTCTTTTAACTGATTTTATGGGAGTATTGGTAGCTTTGCATCCAAGCATCCTCGTTTCTTGAAGTAATTCTAAAAGGTACTTCATTTAAGAAACATATATTCCATTATTTGTCTGAGCAATATCCATCCCTAGAAAGTACTTGAGTTGACCTAAATCTTTGGCTTCAAACTCCTTGGCTAGAAGATTTTTGAAACCATATAGAGATTTATGAAGTTTGCAAACATGAGATTTATGAAGTTTGCACACCATGTTTGAGGTATTTGCATCTACACCCCCTTTCTAATTCCCTGTTTAGAAAAACATTCTTTATGTCTAAATGGTATAGAGGCCAATCTAGATTTGTTGCCAGAGACAGTAGGACCCAAACATAATTAGGTTTTGCCACGGCCGTGAAGTCTCTTCATAATTCACCCCATATGACTCCGTAAATCCTTTTGCAATCAATCTGGATTCGTACCTATTTATACTGCCATGAGCACTGTATATGATTGAGAATATCCATTGTACCCGATTGCTGTTTTCCCTTATGGTATAGTGGTGATTTCCCATGTGCCATATTTTACAAGTGCTTGAACTCTTCTAGTACAACTTCTGCCCATTCGGGTATCTACGGTGCTTCATGTATATTCTTTGGAATTTCTATGCTGTGAGTATTTAAAGCTAGGGCCTCAAGTTTGTTAAATGAATACTTATATTTACTATCTGGCCAAAATTAAATTTATTTTATGCACCAAGGTATTAAAAATATGTTTCATTTTTGTCAATGTTTGTAATGGTTCCTTTATTATAATTCAGGAATGCTCCGACGTCCTGCTGAGGTTCTCGGGCAAGTCCATGTTGCTACACGAGTACGACCTGTGGATGCCTTGTGGGCTGTGGCTTATGGAGGCCCATTGTCTTTGCTTCCCTTAGCCGTAAGCAATATACAAGAGGATACTCTTGAACCACATCAAGGGAATTTTTCTGTGTCAGTAGCAACTACATCTCTTGCTGCTCCGATATTCCGAATTATATCCACGGCTATTCAATATTCAAGGAACAGTGAGGAGTTGAGTCGTTGCAGAGGGCCTGCAGTTCTTTCAAAGATTCTAAATTATCTTCTCCAAACCCTATCTTCACTTGGTATTGGAAGAGATGACGGTGTAGGTGATGAAGAACTTGTTGCAGCAGTTGTTTCACTTTGTCTATCTCAGAAGATCAACCACACACTGAAAGTGCAGCTCTTCACCACACTGCTGCTTGATATAAAAATTTGGAGTTTATGTAATTACGGAATACAGAAGAAGCTTCTATCATCACTCGCAGACATGGTTTTCACCGAATCTGCAGTGATGAGAGATGCCAATGCCATTCAAATACTTCTTGATAGCTGCAGAAGATGCTACTGGACTGTTCCTGAAAAGGATTCAGTAGCTGGAGCAACAAGGCCAGTGGGTGAAGTCAATGCTTTGGTTGATGAGCTGTTGGTGGTGATTGAGCTTCTAATAGTAGCAGCATCTCCTTCATTGGTCTCTGATGATGTCCGATGTTTACTTGGGTTCTTGGTTGACTGTCCACAACCTGGTCAGGTACGTCGTAAGATAAAAGATGCTATCACAAAGCACAGATACAAAACATTCTTAATAACATATTTTTAATAATAGAATATTCATTTATAATGTTTCTATGGTTCTTATGTGGTCTCCTATTGAGTTTTTTGTTTTGAGTTTTCACATTAGGCAATGTTCTTATTTATTAAACCATTATTTTTCTATTACAAATAAGACACATCCTGCTTCTTTTTGGTGTCTAGTTAGTTGCTGTTTTAGTAGAAAGTCCTTGTAACCTGAAGTTATCCAAAGGCTACAGGCTCTGCATGTGCATTTCTTGTTTACATTGGGAGTCATCTTTTATTTTATGTTCTCCTTTGTGTTTAAGGATTGATTATACTTTGTTCTACAGACTCCCTCTGTTTTCCTTTTTATTCCTTTTTAATTGCCATTGCAGTAATTTTATGTTTTTATTTATTTATCGTTTTTAAAGTTCAATGCAACCATATATATTCCTTTGTCTATAATTCCCTTGACTGTTTATCGAAGAGAGATAAATAAGGGGTATCAAATAATAAATAGTTAAGAGTACTGTAGCTTATAAAAAAACGACAATTAAAAAGAAAAGGTGGTGGAGTTCTATTTATCTTATTTTTTTATGAAGGTTATTTTGTTTTTGAGTTTTATTATAAGATATTTATCATGCGCTGAGAAAGGGGAAACTAAGAGAAGGGTAGGAAAGAATTTGTGAGTATTACATAATGCATATTATACAATAATAATAATAATAATAACTAGAGTTATCAATCTCAAATAGCAAATAGCAGTGCGGAGCAGCTGAATCCAAAAATGAGATAGGGGATAGCAGTGCAGAGCAGTCGGACCCAAAAATGAGATAGCAAATAGCGGAATTACCGCTATTTGATTATTTTTTTTTGGAAAAATTGCATTAATGATAACTACAAACATATATTTAATATAAAATTAAATAAATAGCTCAATACCCATAAAAGATTCACAGATCAAACGATCAGAGGAAAAGAGGATTAACAATAAAGAAAAACAATGAAATAAATATTTAAACACTGTGTTTATAAAAAAAACATAGTAAAAAAAAATATAATGTGAGTTTTTAAACATATAGTTTGATTATAGAAAAAAAGAAGCAGAAAACAAAGTATATACAATTAAGAGTTTGAAAACAGAATAAAAATAAAGTATAAAAAACCAGAGCATAATAAAATAAAATCAAATGCTGGAGGGAGGAAGTGAAATAAAAAAAAAACAAGTGGTGGTGAATGAGGAAGAAGAAACAGAGAAATAGTGGAGTGAGGGAGTGAAATGAAGGAGGACAACAGCGGCTGAAATGGAGGACAGCTAGGAACATGCAAGCTGTGCAGAAGGATGAAGATGGAGAAAACGAAAGTTGTGCACGAAGGAAGGAGACAAATGAAGGAGGAGAAAGATGTGTTCTGTTTGGAGGAACACGAGAGCTGCACACAGAAGGATGAGGAAGAAAATTAGGTTTGAGGAAAATCCAAAATTACCCTCATAATAATTTAAAGTTTAAGGGCAATTTCGATCTTTTAGGGGGTGAAAGTGAAAGTGTGTTAAAACCCACTCCTGGCCGGAAAGCTGTTCCGCTCCTGCAACCCACTCCTGGCCGGAAAGCTGCTCCGCTCCTGCGACCCGCTCAAGCTAAACAAGCTCAAGGGTTGATATGGATAATTGTAGTCTGTGACCAAAAAGTTCCTACCGTATTTAAAGATAACTAGATAGTCGTGTTTAGTCATGCTCAGGAATGTTGGGCAGTAAAGAGTCACAAGAAAGAAAAAAGTATAATAGAAACATGAAATTTGTGATGGATGAGTCGCATAGAAGAAAAAATCATGGAAAATTTATGACAGAAAATTAAAGTAAAAAGAGAGGATGCAAAATCTCACTTTAGGTTGTTTGATCATGTAACAAAAATGAAATAAACATAAGATAGTCTGTCTAAAAGCGAAAGAGGAAGACTAAAGAAAGTTGTAAGAAACCATTCACTACAAACCTCAATGTAAATGGATTTATTGAAAACTTGGTTTTTTGAGAGTTATATGTACTATTTGATCGATGTAGCATCACTCACTAATGGATAAGACTTGTTTGTTGTTGTTGTTGTTGTTGTAGTAGTAGTAGTATGTAGATGGTTACCTCCAATTCTCATGTTGATTTATTTTGAAAATAGAAGATTTAAGATGAACTCTGAATGCTTTTTATCCATTAATTATAAACACTATCACTTATCTTAAGAAAATTTTACTCATTATTTACTACATTTTCTAGATTTCTAGGGTACTGCATCTCTTCTACAGGTTGGTTGTTCATCCAAACACATCTAAAGCTCACACATTTGTAGAAGTATTCCTAGCATGTGGCGGGATAGAAACTCTTCTCGTTCTTCTCCAAAGAGAGGCTAAAGCAGGAGAAATTGTTGTCCAGGAATCAGTTTCAAAATTTTCTGGACTTCAAAAAAATGAAACTGATGCTAGCTTTGAGATCATGAAAACATGCCAGGATGATGAAGGGTCAGATTTAAAAAGTGAATCTATTGTACAAGACAATGATCAAGGTTCTGAATCTGTTGATAGTGGCAGCAACTTTGATCTCGGTTCTCCTGATCTGAATATTGAAAGAACGACGTCCAACTCTGAAATTCCCCATATTAGAAATTTGGGAGGCATTAGTCTTTCAATCAGCGCTGACAGTGCTAGAAAAAATGTTTATAATTTTGATAATAGTGATGGCATAGTTGTTGGGATCATTGGTCTCTTAGGTGCTTTAGTAGTTTCTGGGCATTTGAAGTTTGGCTCTCATGCTGTTCCTGAAGCAACAAGCAACCTTATGGGTGTTGGATTGAATGACGGAGGTGGTACAATGTTTGATGATAAGGTTTCTCTTCTTCTTTTTTCCTTACAGAAGGCTTTCCAAGCTGCACCCAACAGGCTAATGACTGACAATGTTTATACGGCTTTATTGTCTGCTTCGGTATGATTAGTTCCCTATGTTAACCCTACTCTATAGTCTATATACAACATATAGACTATAGAGTATACCAATCAAAACACTTATTATGTTATGAAACTGCTGTTTGCTAATGTCATTGCATGCTCATGATTTATTTGGTATAAGTTATTGTTTTATGGCCATCAAAAGCTTATAGGTTTTTGTGAAAAATAGAAATAAGAAATTTTCTAAATGTGCTTGAGTGAGTAAAGACACTCAGCAACCATGATATTTATACACACTATATAAGTAATTACGTATTATGTTTACAAGGAGGAATAGATAATAGTCCAACTCTCTAAATGCATGAATCTAAATGTACATGAACCTAAGACTTAAATGCTCATTTTAGTGGGAAACATACAATGTAGTTTTTCTATTTCCAACCGTTTCCATTCTTTTTGGTCAATACATTTCATGCTTTTCTTTCTTTCGTTTTAGATAAATGCTTCTTCAAGAGAGAATGGGATGAACCTCCATGATTCAGGTCATCGCTTTGAGCATTTGCAACTTTTATTGGTGCTTTTGCGTTCCCTTCCATTTGCGCCTAGGCCTCTTCAGAGTAGAGCATTACAGGTATTAGCTTAACAAACCTCATTTCCAACAATATATTAGTATTTTCAGTGTCTTGTTTTTGCACTTTATTGATTTAAGTATTAGTTTTTCCGTTCCAAAATTTTCAAATAAATGATAAGCATCTCATAATAGCTTGATTGTATCTTAGATTCAATTGGAGTTTCTTAGATTATCAGCTCATACATGATAAAATAAAGGGGTAAAGTATGTTTATCCTATAAAACGGAAAAATATGTTGATTTTAGCCCCTAGAAAGAACTTATATGTTTAGTCCCTAAAAATTCAAAAGTTAAGTGCTTTTACACCCTGATGAGGGATACGTTTAGAATAAATAGAAACATTGTTTTTGTTAAATACAGGGATTAAAATCATTAAAGTTATGGGGACTAAAACTTTAACACACTTCAAACTTTATAAGGGACCAAAAAATACTTAACCCTAATAGATTCTGGATTGGGCCTAAACCGTTCTTACAAAACCAACTTGTTTGTAAGGTGAGGGGGTCACATCCTTTATATACTCTTTTCAAATCTAATATCTTTTCAATGTCAGAATTGAGTTTTTTCCAATACACTTTTTCATACTCTACAGTATTGTGAAAATGAGAAAAACTAGAATAGGTATATGGTAGGTGATTAATATGCTAAAATGACCGTCAGGCAAGGCCAAAGTAAGAGCATTTGACAGTTTATACCAATCCTTAGAACATAAAGAAACAAAAAGTTGCTAGAAGTTCAGAATGAAAAACTATATACTTTCACTAGGTGAGGTTCATTAAGAGTCTTTCAAAACATGTTCCTTTCATGAATGAGAATAACTAGAATATATATATGGTAGGTAGGTATGTAAGACCTTAAAAAGGCCCGTGGTGATGCTAAAGTAAGAGCATTTGACAATTTATACTCTCTTCATTCATTTCTTTCTAGTCTCATAAGAGAAGTTCTGACTATTCCATGTCTTGACTCTAAGCACTTGTTGTGTTAGTCAAAGGAATGCAGGGCATGTTTGTCCCACTACTACTATATAGAATGCCTCTATGTTATCAAATTGCGGCGACCATAGCCGCTATGGCGGATATACTTAGTGGTTTTTAGGCTTGCCGCAATGGTAAATATAGGCCGATATTGCGGGTTTTTTCGCCATAATCCACTCTAACGGCACCGCAAAGTGGCCGGTATGGCGGGATTTTGGCTCTCTGCCATGGACCGCCATCCGCCATCAACAACACTGCACTTAATGGAATTTATTGGGATTAAGCAAGAGTTCTAGTTATGGATATGTTTTCTGGTGGAAAACGTGTTTTATGGCCCTAGTTTTAAGCCCCCCTTTGTGTACGATTTCAGGATCTTCTATTTTTGACTTGCAGTCATCCAGAAAACAGAGGCAGGCTAACAAATATGGAAGAATGGCCTGAATGGATTCTTGAGATTATGATTTCAAACTATGAGGTAATAATCTCTGCAGCTTAATTCTTCTTAATCTCCCCATTCTTTACTTTCTTTTATTTCTCGTTAATAAATATTACTCCCTCCGTCCCACAATGAGTGACCCAGTTGATCATTTCACACAAATTAAAAAAAAGGAATAAATAAAAGAGAGAATGATATTTTTACTAAAGTACCCTTATCATATATTGGAAATAATGAAAGTAATATTAATTAGAGGATAAAATTGGAAAAAATACATTGGAACTTGTAATGGGTCATTTATTTTGGAACACTCATTTATTCCAAATAGATCACTCATTATGAGACGGAGGGAGTAGTATGTAAACAAAGTATACAAAATGTATGTTTAAAAATAAATAAATAAATAAATAAATAAATAAATATATATATATATATATATATATATATATATATATATATATATATATATATATATATATATATATATATATATATATATATATATATATATATATATATATATATATATATATATATATATATAAACTTTTCGTGAGTACATGTAAACTTTTTATGTAAAGTTATTGTTTTATGTATTAATATTGTAGTTATTTTACTATGCATACTTCAACTATGCAACTTACATTCTTTGGTCTGACAGTTGGGTCCAAGCAAACCATCTGACATGACAAGCCTAGGAGACATAGAGGACCTTTTACATAACTTCCTTATCAAGGTTCTAGAGCATTCAATGCGTCAAAAGGATGGATGGAAGGTTGGTAAATTATTAACTTCCCTTATTTGGTTTATGCATGTTCATGATGTTTTGTCTACAACCCACTCACACAATAATTTGTTTCAGGAAGTTTGTTCATATTTTGTTGTATTTCCCAATTTATGTAGGATATTGAAGCAACGATTCATTGTGCAGACTGGCTCTCGATTATTGGTGGATCTAGCACAGGAGAACAGCGAATTAGGTAAGTTTGTAGATCTTCTTTGGGCATTCATAACTTTTCCTTCTCCCTTTCTACTACCATGCTTCTAGTTGTCCATCATGATTTATGTCCCTTCTCTTACTTGGTACATGTTGTCTTTTTTTCTGAACTAAACGTTAAACTATTTCCTACTATGAGAACATTCTTGTGAGGCCACCACAAGCTTTGACAATTACTAGATTTCATGGTTTTCAGTGAAACATACAATGAGGAAATATGAAAAGTAGTAGGGATCTATGTTCTTTGTTTATATACGATGAGGAATGTTTATTTTTGTCTGTGGCAGGCTTGAATAAATTACATCAAGTGATATTAATGAATATGAGCTCATAAATTACATCAAGCGTGATGCGGGAAGTCCAACAACAAGTCTAGTATAAGCTCATATACCGTATTAGAATTTGGGTTGAGCCTAACTCATCCCTACAAAACCGGCTTGTAAGGTGATGGCTGACCAAACTTTATAAACAATACACATGTCATATCGCAATGTGAGGCTAAATCCACCCCCTTAAAACCAACACAATGAAGGTGTTGGAGGTTGCGATGAAGGAAAGACAAATGCTGCAATTAGCCAACTAAAGGCCGACCGCAATGAAGGCGAAATTTCCAATATACTTTCCTCTTGAAGATGATTGCTCTAAAAAAGGTTTGTTCTAAAAAATATGAACATCCATAATTCCACCAACCGTTTAGAATCAGGATCAAAACACTTATATTCTTTTTTGGATGGTGGAATAACCAACAAAGACACATGAATTAGAACGAGGTTCAGGTTTGGCCATTTGTTTGTGTTCATGGACAAAGTCATTGCAACCAAATATTTTTAGACCCAAATCACCTAAAATAGAAGATATATATATATATATATATATATATATATATATATATATATATATATATATATATATATATATATATATATATATATATATATATATATATATATATATATATATATATATATATATATATATATATATATATATATGTTTTAAAGTTTAAAAGGCGGTTTGAAGTTGTAAAACATGAAACAACATGCGATTTGTTAAATGCATAGTTGTTAAACACGCTCACTAGACATGACAATGAGACGGGATTGAGACAATTTTTATCTCCCCCATACCCAAATCCAAGTCCCCAAACAATCCTCGTTTCCCGTCCTGATCCCTGACGTGGATGAAAAATTGAAATCCAAACCCATCCCAAACGTGTTCGAGGTTGGTTCGGGTATCCCTTGCCTTGCCACCATCCTTGCAGTGAAATCAAAATTTTAATAGAGATATAGCTCATCTCCCCACATTAAATTGCATTACAAATAATAAAGTAAAACAATCCCGAAAAATTCCAATCATACATTTCAAATATTAAAGTACAAACCAAAATATCAAAGCATTGACCATACAATTAATGTTCTAAATAATTAAAACTAAATAATAAAGTTCATAATGATTTAAACGAGGGACGGGTACTAGTGTCCCCATTACCCGACCCGTTTTCAAATTTTTATGTGTCAGCTCACCCCATAAGCATTTTGGAACTTCAGTAGAAAAAAGTAAGACACTGTTTTAAGTATACTTCCAGTTATCCTCACAACACAACGCATTTTGGAACTTCAGTAGAAAAAAGTAAGACACTGTTTTAAGTATACTTCCAGTTATCCTCATAACACATAACACAGATCCAACTCTTGTCAAAGGCTCATCAATTCATTCATTATAGTAGATAGTCACATCACTTCCTTGTCATTTTGTTTTGAGTTTCAGAACTTTGACTTCGGACCATAGACCTGGGAAGAATTTTGAATATCAGAGTAGGTGTCTTTTACACCATCTCATACTTGATTTTCTGTAGGCAGAAATATGAATGGCATTTCATTAGCTGCCTCCAGTGAATTAATTAGCTAGACAATAATTAAAGAGTTTAAAGATTTTCAGAACTAATTAAATATAAAATCAAGTAAGGTTACTCAATGCAATTATTTAGCTTGCATGTAATCCTTTATTCTCTTGTGCTTTCTCTCAACCAATAATTTCTCAAATAAATTTCTACTATCCTATCTAGATTAAAAAAAAAAAGATTATGAAGAATTTTGGGGAAGACTTCTAATTTTTCTATACCACCATATTATTTCATTGTCTTGATAAAATGTTTGTTGTGACATATTTAACTATTTGTCTTCATGATTTACATAATCATTCTTCCTTGGTTAATGTCTTGAAGACGTGAAGAATCATTACCTATATTTAAGAGAAGACTCTTAGGCGGCTTGATGGACTTTGCGGCCAGAGAGTTGCAGGCCCAGGTACATATTGTTTTTTATTATTGATAATTCTGTCCTATTTGTCTACTGATTTACTTTTTCCCAAAAGTTAATTTTGGTTATCAACATCCCCTTTCATTTAGAGAAATAAAACCTATCCACCTATTCATATTAGTTCTCGATGTTTGCATTTATAATGAAGACTGTTTAAAAGGTATTCCATGATTGTAGGGCTTTAAATATATCCTATATCAATCTGATTACATTAGAAATATATCATATATATACATGGAGATAGGGAATATTTATGCAGAAGAAAAATAATAAAGAAAAACACTTTGGTAATTATAAATCAAATATTCTAATTGTAGAAAGAGAGAAGTAATATGAATAATCAAAATATACCCTACAATGTGTAGTTACCCTAATATTTTTATTTATTGGTTAAAAGAGTAATACATAAGAAAGATAAATGGATCAAGCCCATATACTTCATATTTAAACCCTAGTATTATAATATATAACTCTTCTCAAGCAGGAGCATAGTATATATTAATCTTGTCCAACTTGTTACAAATGAAATAACTAGGCATAATCACTGGTGTTGCAGCTTATGGTTTGTCTGCAGACGAGGGTTAGTATTAATCATGCCTTTGTAAACAAATTTGCTAGTTGATTTCCTGTCCTAACATATGAAGTAGATATATGATTTTCTTGAACCTTCTCTCTAATTAAGTGACGGTCTAAATTTAAATTCATAAGCATAACTCACCAGTAAGATAATTAAAACCTTAAATCACACTTCAAATACTAATATAAGTTTAAATTCACTCATAAGCATAATCGCATAAATGATTCAAAGATCGTAAGATTATACAATTCAATGACTAACCTGGGCTACGAGATCCACCAGAATAGGATTATGTGTATACTCTTAATCGCCGAGGAGGGCAAGTATAATCTCAAATCGTGGGATTTTACAGTAAAATCGGGATGTTGACTACCATGATTAAACCATATCGCAACATTGTGTACAAGAATAAATACAAATGATTATTTATATTTCTCATTGTTTGTTTTAAAGAAGGGGATTAAAATTGGATTTATGTCTACATTCATATTTTCCTTACTGCAGACCCAAGTTATTGCTGTGGCAGCTGCTGGTGTTGCAGCCGAGGGTTTGTCTGCAGACGATGCTAAGGAAGAGGCAGAGAATGCTGCTCAACTGTCTGTGGCCTTAGTAGAAAATGCTATTGTGATACTTATGCTTGTTGAGGATCATTTACGGTTCCAGGGCAAACAATCCTCTTCTTTGCGTCCTGCAGATGGCTCTCCATCTCCTCTTTCTCTTTTTTATCCAGTCAATAATAACTCAACAACAATAATCAGAGAATCTACAGAAGCTATGGGTGATCGTACATCATCTAGAAATTCTGGGGGCACCTCATCTAGAAATTCTGGGGGAATCTCTCTCGATGTGAGCATACAGTAATTTTAAGTGCATAAATTGCTCTCTTATACTTTTCCTTCATACCTGCAGAACCCATGAAATTGCATACTATCCTATTCTTTATAAGCGTTTTCTAAAAAAGAATACTAATATTTTGCATATATGACTTTAAAATTGTATTTTTACGATGCTTTATCTTATGTCTCCTTAAATATACAACTCTTAGGCGTGCCCTTAGGATTTAAGTATCTTATTTTTTTCTTGCCTTTTTTTAGTTTATTTGCATTCTTGTTAGTATACCTTTGCTAGCCCCTATCATCCTCTTCTCTCTTTCTCTCTCTGTAGTCTTTTGTATGTTCATTTTTACACGGGCCAGACTTATGCTGTATAATATTTTAGGTTCTTTCTTCAATGGCTGATGCATATGGTCAGATCTCTCATTCAGTTATGGAAAGGCTTGCTGCAGCTGCTGCAGCCGAGCCATATGAGTCTGTTTCTTGTGCTTTTGTATCATATGGGTCTTGTGCTAAGGATTTAGCTAATGGATGGAAATATAGGAGCCGTTTGTGGTATGGTGTTGGCCTTCCTTCAAATATAGCTTCATTTGGTGGTGGTGGGAGTGGATGGAATATTTGGAAGTCTTCTTTGGAGAAAGATGCCAGTGGCAACTGGATTGAGCTTTCTTTGGTGAAGAAGTCTGTGGCAATGCTCCAATCATTTTTGCTAGATGATTCTGGGCTTGGTGGGGGTCTTGGTATAGGTAGAGGATCAGGTACCGGAATGGGTGCAATGGGTGCTTTATACCAGCTATTAGACAGTGACCAACCATTCTTGTGCATGCTTCGGATGGTTCTTCTATCAATGAGGGAAGAGGATGGTGAGGAAAAAAATATGCTGATCGGGACTATGAATACTGAGGATGCGATATCTGAAGGAGAGAAACCATGCTCGGTACTTTTGTGGAGGTAAACCAATTTCCATGATCTGACTTACATTAAGCTCATTTTTCCCCTTTGTTGATAAATTACCGTTGGAAAATTCCATACAACAGCTACATTAACATTTGCTCATATTTCTGTAGGTCAGCAAATACTTAGATGTTAAATGTATCTTTTTACTCACTAGTGTAAGTAAAGAAATAGAATTTGAAACAATTAGTTCATAAATCATAATATTCACTGTTTACTAGTGTTTGAAATAGATTCAGAAGTAATGTTAATAAAATTGATGCTCCACTTGCTTAGATTCATTGTGTAATTTGAATAATTTAGAATGAATGACCTGTGTTACCCAATGAGGATGTACAAAATATTTATATACAAGAGAGAATCTCTTTTTTTTTTTTCTAAGCAAAAAAAAAAAAGTTGAAGTGAAGAAAAAGATGAAGGCACAAACATCGCAACCAAGTTGGCACTTCTGAACCCACATCTAAACTAGTATTATTAAAAGAAATAAAAAAAAGATGTTTGGGGGACTAGGCTAAAACCTAAGGTAACAACAATGTAGACCAAAATGATTGGTCAACGGTCTCATTAAAAACCTTATCAAGGGAAATCTAGTAAGATAAAACTTTGATGAAAGAAAAAAGAGTGCAGTTTGAATTAAAAAAAAAATCATTTCTTAAATCTAAACTCAGGTAGACCAAGTCTATTACGATTACAAACTTCAAAAATGTCACTAGGAACTTGCTCCCACTAAGTGAAACTATATCTATTCAGACCAAGGGTGACAATCTTATCAGCACGTTAGTTACCTTTCCTATAAATATGAGAAACCACAAAATACATGTTTGAGAAACTCTAAACAGTTAAGCCATCTAGTAGTGAGATATCATGGAGCAATTGCCTCGTTCTTAAATTCCAAATTAGGAAAAGTAGTAAACTAAGAAAACTATATCAACAATAATAAACGGAGAGAATAATCTTAATTATGACTATAATCATCATCCCCCTCAAGTTGGAGCATATATATCATATGCATCCAACCTGTTACATATAAAATCAATCCGAGGTCCTCGTAGAGACTTCGTGCAGAATGTCAAAAACATAGAACACGGGCACTACTACATATATGATAAAATTTGAACTTTAGTTATCCATCTATTATTAAAAGAGTTAAAAATATTTTAATCAAAATTAATGTCTTTAATTCTTCATTGATGACATTGTTTCAATACACGTTTAACCCTTTTAGACGGGTGAGATTTAACCAAGTATAAGATATGTTGGTCCAAAGAAAAAATCAAATTTCTTTTGAAACACTTGTTTGGATTGTCTGACACGTGTTTTATGAGTGTCATACGGGTGTCGGACACCGATTCAAAGAGTGTCGAAGTAAAGACAAAAATCATTTTTTTGTCGACACTTGTTTGAGTTTTTCGACACTTGTCTGATTTTTCCGACACGTGTTATGGGTGTCATACAAGTGTCAGAAACTCACGTGTAGGACACAATGACACACCAACTCTTAGAGGTGTCCGTGCTAGATCGAGAGCATATTTGCTCTCAGACATAACAATGCTGCCTATTGCCAAGCTACTTCAATCTCAAAAAAATAACACAATCAACATAAATCTTTGGTCCGTAAGTGGGTGAATAAATGTTGTTTTAGATCTTCAATGCCTTATTGATCATATCATATAAATATTAAAACGATGTATTTGTAACAAGCATCAAGTAATCTTTAACAGGAGGGGGAGTGTTTACATATAGGAGACAGTTCATATAAATATGGGCTAGTGTTAATACTTGGTATAAATATGGGCTAGTGTTAGTACTTGGTATAAATATAGCCTACTATTTAGTTTTCTGTAATAACATCTTACATAGAATTCATTTTCAGATCATATCAATATTGTTTCATTCTTTTGAGTAATTCTTTTCCTCTATTAACAATAACAACCCATTTTAGGTGGGATCAACTGCATGGATCAAAAAGTTCCATGATGTTCTATCATATGTTATATGATTTATATTTCCTTCAGTTCTCTGTTGTTTTGTACAATCGATCCAAGATATGCAACTAATGTATTACCTTTTTTTATGGACCATTCCTTGTTTGGGACCTTATTTTATTCTCAGGAATTTTATCTTATCTTTATTAAGTTATTTGTTTCCTTATTTCATTATGGTTAGAAGTCCAGTTTCAATCCTTAATCCTATTATAATTAGATGTTAGTGTTTTGTCCACTGTATCATTACTTCACAATACACCGTATATTAATTTAATATCCTACTATTCTGAGTCTCCATTCTGCATCTTCATCTTTGCTTACCTAAACCTGATATGTAATTGATGTCCTCTTTATTTTTTCTTTTCGACAGTGTTCTATCACCTGTTCTTAACATGCCAGTTTCTGATTCTAAGAGACAACGGGTCTTGGCAGCATCATGCGTGCTGTACTCTGAGGTTAATATTGTCTTCTTCTAAAACTTCCAATTTTTCTTTGTTATCCATAGTATCTGCATTTATCTTTTTTTGTGCACAACCATTGTAATTACTATAGGACAATATATGGCCAGGTATACCATGCGGTTAGCATAGACCAAAAGCCTCTTCGTAAAAAGTACCTTGAGGCTATTTTACCACCATTTGCTGCTGTCTTAAGAAAGTGGCGACCCGTTTTGGCGGGAATTCACGAACTTGCAACAGCTGATGGTTTCAACCCTCTTAATGTGGATGATAATGTACTCGCAGCTGACACCCAGCCAGTTGAGGTATTTCAATGTACATTTGCTTTTCCATGCTTACAAACTGAAATAGATATTAATGCATGCATTATACATGTGTAATTGTATGCAGCCTGTATGCCTATGTTCGCGAATTGTTCTCATTCTTGCCATTTTAGAATGTGATGGGATTTTCTACTAGTTTGGCTTTCTCTTTATGTTGACATTTTCATGTTTGTGTGAAACATTCTGTTACCAATTGTGAGTTCTGGAATTTTCACTGAGTGCTTGCTATTTAAAGTGGAATATTTTTGGTTTTGTTAGCTTGTCACTGCAATAATACATGTACAAGACAGTTCAATTTGTCTGCCAAAAATGAGCTTCTTTATGAAGCTAATATTCTATTCATTCATAAGATTTTCATCTATTAACTTAATTGTGCATTCTGGCATTTCTTCCAGGCTGCTCTTGCTATGATATCTCCTGCATGGGCTGCTGCTTTTGCATCTCCACCTGCTTCTATGGCATTGGCTATGATTGCAGCTGGTACTTCGAGTGGTGAAAGTAACGCACCTTCAACAAGTGCCCAGCTTAGGCGTGATACCTCATTAATGGAACGCAAACAGGCTAGGCTTCATACATTTTCAAGCTTTCAAAAACCTTTAGAAGTCCCTAATAAAACACCACCCCTACCAAAAAACAAAGCTGCAACAAAAGCAGCGTCATTTGCAGCTGCTCGTGATCGACAACGATTTTCAAGGATTGGTTCTGGAAGAGGCCTTAGCGCTGTTGCAATGGCTACATCTGCACAGAGAAGGAATGAGAGTGATATGGAGCGAGTTAAGAGGTGGACTGTTACTGAAGCAATGGAAGTTGCATGGACAGAGTGTTTGCAGCCATTTGATACAAAGTCGGTATATGAGAAAGATTTTAATGCACTTTCTTATAAATTTATTGCTGTTCTTGTTGCCAGTTTTGCCTCAGCAAGGAATATACAACGGTCCGAGGTTTGTTAACTAATTGATACTAGGGTTTTTGGACTATATTGAGATACTGTTTGTTGTTAAGTATTTCTTTGTTGCCAGGTTGACAGGCGTGCTCATGTAGATTTATTAACTCGGCGTCGAATCAGTGCTGGAATTCGTGCATGGTGCAAACTTATTCACCAGTTAATTGAGATGAGAAGTCTTTTTGGGCCTTTTGCAGATCACTTATACAGCCCGCTCCGTGTATGCTCTGATATATTTGTCTAAGTTGTTACCGAACTTGCATTCTTTGTAGCTTCTAATCTCTCTGTCCATAGTTTTTCTTTGATTAGTATAAAAATGGACTCTAGGAAGATGTGTACTCATTTTGTTTTTTGGTGTATACAAAATCCTAAAATTCAAAAACAAGATGAATTTTCTAATTTGACATTTATGCTTGGGGCTTTTGGTTTTGCAAACAATAATTGGCTTCTCTTTTGAGCTGATTCTCTGTTTTTCCAGTTTGTGTTTTGTTTTCCTACACATGCTATTTTTGGAGGATATTCTATCTGCCCAAATGATGGTCTCTAATATTAAGATCTTATCTAGATAATTTTTTTAATGAGTGATGTCATCACAATGATTACTTTATAATGTTCAGGTTTTCTGGAAGCTAGACTTTATGGAAAGTTCTTCTCGGATGAGAAGATATATGAAGAGGAATTACCAAGGATCTGATCATTTAGGTTGTGCAGCTAACTATGAGGATTATTCAAGCGATACAAATTATCAGAGGACTCCAGTTTTGTCTGCAGAAGCAATCTCAATAGAGGCTATAAATAAAGACGAAGAACAGGTGGAAACTGAAAATATGGATACTAAGTTCAATAATATTGCAGAGAATCAGCCTAAAATTTCTGAATCCGCAGAAGAGATGGTACAAATATCTTTAGAACCCAATGCTACTCAGCTTCAAAGTCAAAAAGGTGTTATTCAGAGTTCTTCAGCCTTTTCATCTGGGCGTGTTCCGAGTGAGCGCGATGAAAGAATTGTTCTCGAGCTACCATCATCAATGGTCCAGCCACTTCGGGTTTTACAGGGAACTTTCCAAGTAAGTTAATGATCTAATTTAAAAGTAAAATTGAAACAGTCTTGATGATATTGCTCATATATAAATATAGATTTTTGTATATCCGTGTCCTATGTTCTATTGTCTTTTCAGAAAGTTGCTGGTAGAGAGACAAGAGCAAAATTTAACTAAAAAAACAAGTGGAAAGAAAAATAATATTGTCGCCTTTTTTATTGTTAACTTCTGCCAAGTCCATTGAAGCCATCATAAAATGTTCGTCCTTGGGCCTAGGACATACCTAATATATACCAAAATGGATCCAAAATAAAGTAGCAGAACAGTTTAGAAACAGATGTGGAACTGGTCCTGAGCACAGTGAACATCGTAACAAACATAAGAAAATTTGCCTTATTTAATCTACAATCCTGCAAAATATCACAAGTGAACTTTACACAGACATGGATAAAGCGGTCCAATTAATGTTTTGTTTGGTAAATTTTATATACCAAAACGGATCCAAAATAAAGTAGCAGAACAGGTTAGAAACAGATGTAGAACTGGTCCTGAGCACAGTGAACATCGTAACAAACATAAGGAAAAATGGCCTTATTCAATCTACAATCCTGCAAAGTATCACAAGTGAACTTTACACATACATGGATAAAGCGATCCAATTAATGTTTTGTTTGTTAAATTTTGTGGCCAATAACAAATGGGTTTTTGTTACTCTTCTTTTACCCATGGTTTTGAAGTTTTGGTTGCTTCCTAGAACCAAAATACATGGAAATTTGTTAGAGGTCCTTAAAGCCTTGAGTTGTAGATTTGCATGGATTTTCATCGTGGAAAAGATGCATCAAGAATTTGAAATAGTTTCTTTGCTTAGGCATTGCAATTGTCTTATTGTAGGTAACCAGTAGGAGGATAAATTTTATAGTTGATAACAATGAGACTAGCCCTCCTGTGGATGGTTTGAATTTCAATTCGGCATTTGGGGACCAAGGAAAGGATCGCAGCTGGTTGATGTCTTCTCTTCATCAAGTTTATAGTCGAAGGTGAATTCATTTTATGTATTTTTTTCTTGATTTAGGATTGAGTTATCTATGCTTTAAATAGAGATTAATATTTAGTCTTTAACTTCAAGCAAGTATCAATAATATTCAAGGTTATTATTATTTTCTATCTTCTTTTTATCTCAAACCTCATAACTTTAACAAGCTCATTTATTAAATGATGTTAATTTTGATGTATTTCAATGAAATATAATATGATTTCAGCTATACGTAAAAAAATTTACAGAATAAAAAGGATCAAATCTATATGATATAGATTTTCAATCAAATAGCAGGTTTAGTAATATGTATCCTATAAAAAAAATTGTGATGTACAACACTATCCTAGATCTGTTGTTGGGTTTCCCGCATCGGCCATACTTTAGCCTCATTGAGGCCCGAGCGTGAGGGGATGTGTTGGAAATTCTGCTTTTTGCGGTCCAACTCATCTAATTGTGGCATTTGACTTTCCTTCATCGCAGCCTCCAACACCTACGTTATGTTGGGTTTGAAGGGGTGAATTAAGTTACACATTGCTTAGAGATATAATATGTATTGTGTTTATAAGGGAGGGCTATTCTCACCTTATAAACCGGTTTTGTAACTCTAATATCATTATTATGATAGGGTAGTTATGTAACCTTTGGAGTTAGAATATTCTCTTAATGTGTAATTGAGAAACATGGATTCCCATTACCATCAGCTTTCTCCTTTTCCTCTTTTTTAAACCGGTAACAAAGCCAAATGAGAAGAAATCCTTATCCGTGTTTCTCCATTAGACCCATCGTCTCTTAATGCATTTTTGTTTCCTTTTTAGAAACAATGTTTGTCATTTAACATCCACTCCCTACCACTATGGTGTAGTTTCTCTCACATGTCTTTTTCCATCTCTGTATTCTCCTCTGCCGTTTGCCACCATTAGTAATTGTTTATTGCGAGAGAACCACCATTCAAATTCGAAACTCTGCCACCTTTTTTTAAAAAGCAAAATGGCATGCTGAGACTTCACATATATGCAACAAATCCTAGTAACAAATTGTTTTGTCATCAAATCCACTAGTAGTCAAGTTGAGTAGTATAGAATGATTAAACTTGTATTTCACAATGAGGCTGTGCAGATATATATATACAAAAGAGAATCTCTCAAGAAAGAAAATAGAGAATAAGGAAACTATATTAATACTATTAAAAAGAGAATAATCAACACTCCCTAATAGAAGAACCTCCCAACAAGACAAATTCCAAGTTTCAGAAGTGGGATACAGAAGACTCCGCCATCATTGCATGGTTATGGTGTTCAATGATTCTTGAAATCAATGCACTTGCATGTTCCTAAGTACGGAAAAGGAGATTTGAAAAACATTAGAAGAGACTTATTCTAAAGCTGAGAGATGTTGCCCAAATATATGATGTGAAGATGAAATCACTAATGGCTAAACAGAGAAACAAAACAGTTACAAAATATGCTAATCATCTCAAAGCCTCGTGGATGGAGTTATACCACTACAGAGTTATCAAAACCAAGTGTATAGAAGATTCAGCAACATTTAAAGAGTACATTGAATAAGATAAAGTCTATGATTTTCTGGTGTGACTCAACTTTGACTTTAAGTTAGAATACAAATTCTTGGCAAAGAAAAAGTACCAAACATTAATGAGGTAGTGGCTATAGTGAGAAGTGAAGAAAGTAGAAGGGGGTTAATGCGGACAACACCACTTGTGGAGAGCTCAGCAATGCTAGATGAGAAGATTCGACCATGATGGCTAGTCAAAAGAAATGGGAGTAACCTATGCCGAGAAGAAGAGCGAAGGGGTGTGGTGTACTCATTGCAACAAGCCTTGACATACTAAAGAAAAATGTCAGAAATTGAATGGAAAGCCTCTTAATAGAGAGCGGGAACAGAAAGGAGACTTTTCAAGAAAGGGAGGACATGCACATGTGGCTGGGAATACTAGTGGAGACAGTCTAGAAAAAGGGGTGCAACTTAACCTAAGTGAAGTAGAAAAGGTGTGGTCTCTCCTCAGTAAGTTGGAGAAACCAAGAGGTACTTGTAATTTAACACATTCAGGACAAGAATCCGGGGAGGACTATTTGAAGTGCTAAGAGAATGTAATGGTCTTTACTACTTGGATAACAAAGATCCAAGCTTAGATTTTCTCAGCAACAATTCCTTTTTTTCAGAATCAATAAAGACTAAGAAGAAGAAGGTTCTCTTATACCATTGTCGTATGGGTCATCCTTCGTTTAGAGTCATTAAGAAGTTATTTTCTGTTTTATTTAAAACATTAGATAAATAAAACATTAGATGTTGAGAGTCTTCATTGTGAGGTGTGTGAGCTTGCTAAATACGAACACGTACCCCTTTCCGTTAGTAATAAAATGAGTACTTTTCCGTTTTAAAAAAAAATTAGAGTTTTGGCCTAACTCAACTCTAAAAAACCGACTTGTAAGGCGAGGGGTGTCACTCTATATAAACTCTTTTAAGGCTTTGTCTCTAACCAATGTGGGACTTGAGATTTTTTCAATACACCCCCTCACGCCCAACACTCTTTCGGGCTTGGTGCGTGTATATAAATGGTAGGTGATCCATGGTCCGATTGATAGGCTGTAGTACGATATCAGAATGTGTGTTGGACCTAACTTATCCCTACAGAATTGGGATTTTAAACCGGCTTATATAAGGTGAGGATTTCCCCCACATATAAACACAACACATGCCATATCTCTAAACAACGTATGACTAAATTCACCACTTCAAATACAACACAATGAAGGTGTTGGAGTCTGTAATGAAGGCAAGCCAAACGCCGCAATTTAGGTGACTAGGAACGGACCAGAATGAAGGCGGAAATTCCAACACTCCCTCTTAAGCTGGATATATATCATACGCTTCCAGCTTGTTACACGTCTAATCAATCTGAGGTCTCTGTAATGGAGAGATAATCAATGGTAAATGTTAGAAGCCTTGAGGATGCTGTAGCCAGAATACTAGGATACTACTTGGAGGGATGAGTCTATTAAGGTCAATTTCCAAAATTCACCCTTGAGGACAAGGCTGTGCTCTCAAAGGAGGGCAATGTCAGAGGCTGTGAGGATGGTTTTACTGCAGATACTAGTAGTGTTGTTGTAACAGATGGGCCAATGTATCATATGTCCAAAATAGAGAGAGTCTACTCTAGGAATCATTGTTTATGACCACTGTTATTTATACCAGTTTTTCTGTTCTGGGAATCCTAACAGTTTCCCTCTCTAGAAGTTGCTTCTGGACATATGCTTAGCTTCATTAGGTCTGCTTGGTAGTTTCTGTTATTGTGCTAATAGAGATGTTGTTTGTTTCACACCATTTATATCATGAAATGCAAGAGTTAACAAATGTAACGCTTTAAAAAGCTAACATTCACTAAACCCGCTATTTGGCGGAAAACAAGGATGATATTGATGGAATCAGCCAATTCTAATCTTTTGTGGGTTTTGGAAGAAATTAAAATGTTTTCTGTTGTTTGTCAGTAACGGGTTCCTGTTACAGATATCTTCTTAGAAGAAGTGCATTGGAGCTATTTATGGTGGATCGTTTGAACTTCTTCTTTGACTTTGGGGTATTAGTTTTTAATTTTTCTACTTTAATTGTTTTATTATTGAGGAATAAGTTTTTTTTTGGATTTGAAATTGTATAATTCTGAATTTTAACTATGGTTGCTAAGTTATGCAAACATAAATTCTAATACTTCCTTTACTAAAACCTCCTCATCAGAGTAGTGAAGGGCGGAGAAATGCATATCGAGCAATTGTTCATGCACGACCTCCTAATTTAAACAATATATATTTAGCAACACAGGTATTATCTTTTCAGAGAATTTTAAATTTATCTGCATTTGCACATAGTATAATGAAAGTTTATTTCTTTAGAAGCCTGAACAACTTTTAAAAAGAACTCAGCTTATGGAGCGGTGGGCTAGATGGGAGGTAAGAAGTGTGCCTCAACTCTTCAAACAATATTATTTTATGTTTGGATTGTTTAACTATATGTTTAATTCAAACCGTAAAAGTTTATAATAATTTTTTTTCATTGAAGTACAGCTTTTTCCTCGTGAAAGCTACAGTACACGCATTAGAAATATATATTTTTCAAAGATAATTTGTTTTACCTCAGCCAAACAACATTTTCATTCATTCCATATCTCGTTTGGTAATTTAATGCATAATTTGATTTTAATACAATCATGAACTATATTTTTAAAGTGATATTGAATCAACATTTCTAAACATAATCTAGTTTTTGTATTTGATCATCTTAAAAGTGTTTTTAACATAATATTTTCTAGCAACTAGCCAGTCAGACACTAAGTTTCTAATATAATTTGAACACTTGTGGCTTATGTATAAATTTTATGATGCCGTTGTGCAGATCAGTAATTTTGAGTATTTAATGCAACTCAATACACTGGCTGGGCGTAGTTATAATGATATAACACAGGTAGTCTTTCTTCTTAATTTATTGCTTTCTATCTTTAAAATTAAATTCTTCAATCCTGTTGTTAAGAGTCCCACATCGGACAATATATGGCATGAACATGTGTTTATAAGTGGGGGCAATCCTCACTCTACCAACCGGTTTTGTAGGGTTGAGTTAGGCCCAACCACACTTCTCAACATGGTATCAAGAGCCTCGTTTAAGATCCGGTGGGCCACCTTCTATGGTTTCCCCTATCGGGCCACCCACCATTTATTTCCACGCTTCAGTTGTCAAGTCCTGAGCGTGAGGGGGTGTGTTAAGAGTCCCACATCGGACAATATATGGCATGAACATGTGTTTATAAGTGGGGGCAATCCTCACTCTACCAACCGGTTTTGTAGGGTTGAGTTAGGCTCAACCACACTTCTCAACACCTGTGTTCATGTTATTTATTTCATGAATATTATTTCTTTTTTGCAGTATCCAGTTTTCCCCTGGATTCTTTCTGATTACAGTTCAGAGAGCTTGGATCTTTCTAACCCTTCTTCTTACCGGGATCTTTCAAAGGTTATCGTGAATGTTGCTTCAATCAATTCATAGGAAAATAGTTGTATCTTCTTCAAATAATTAATGCTTTTGATACCATGCAGCCGGTTGGTGCACTAAGCCCAGATCGCCTGAAAAAGTTTCAAGAGAGATACACTAGCTTTGACGATCCTGTCATCCCCAAATTCCATTATGGGTCACACTACTCAAGTGCAGGAACAGTGGGTTTGCCCTCTTTTTTCTTGCCTTCTTTTTTCCAAAAAAATAACTTGAATTTTTCTTTATTATAGTACTTCATTATCATTCAAGACAATGATGCAAAAGGACTATTGATGTTGAGCGTCACCTTTATGTTTTACTTCATCAATTTATTTATCAAATCAGTGCTCTCTAAGAAGGCTTGATTTGTATGAAGCTTTTTCTTGATTTTGTCATTATTATAGTAGTTCGTTAGCATTCTAGACAATGATGCATGGAGACTTGTGATGTTGTGATGTTGAGTGTTTTCCTTTTTGTTTTACTTCCTCAATTTATTTATTAGATCAGTGCTCTCCAAAAAGTTTGATTTGTATGAAGCCTTTTCTTGAGTTGTTAACTTTGAGTTGATGCAACCATGGGAGCAATCAACCATGAGAGCAATTTACTTGTTATGATGAGTGATGGAGTAATATCAGACAGATAAAAAAGATCTTAACACGGTCTCAAGTGATTTGGAGATGTACGATAGGGTGCCAAAGATATTTTGTAGAAAGCCCTAGAAAATAAAGAGATTTAGATTATCTATTTTCGAGATATCAATGATATGTATGAGGGGGCTGCGACTAGTGAAATTCACCTTTGTCTTGGATGTACTTCAGAGCACATTCAAGAGCCAGTACTGTGATGCGTGCTTTTTGTAGGTCGTAGAGTTTTACTTGGAGAGACGAGAGAGGGAATAAATGCGGGGTTAGAGACTTGGAGGCAAGTTTTAGAAGTATATGGCTTTCTTTTGAGTATAAGACAAAATATGAAATGTAAGCTTAGAAAAAGGAGTAGCACACCTAATTAAGAGGTGAAGCCAAAGAGCATACTATACCACAGGTTACACAATCTAAATATCTTGGGCCAACAAATGATAGAGAAATTGAGGGAGATGTAAACCATCAAATTCATGTTGGGGGTATGAAATAAAGGAGACTCATGGGTTTTATATTTATATATATGTATCCCTCAAATTAAAAGGAAAGTTTTATCATACAACTGTATGACCAGTTGCGTTGTATGAGACTGAATCTTGGGTAGTAAACTGCCAACACTAGAGAAAATTTAGTGTAGTAGAGATGTGAATGTGACACTAGATGTGTGAAAATACTAGATATGATAGAATTATGAATGACACCATTAGAGATAGATAGTTGAGGTACCTATTGTAGAAAAAATGGTCGAATCACGAAAAAAGGTGTTTTGGGCATGTATGAAGGAAGCCATTAGATTATGTATTAGGGTGATATTGTAGCTAGCCAAATGGGGCAGCTTCGAAATTTTAAGGTCTTTGCTCACAATTTTTTTTTCGTCGGTTGTGCAAAGTTGTGCAAACTTGCAGACTGCTAATTTATTGTGTTTTTTTAGTGTTTCACTGTTTTGTTAGGGTATTTCTCCTGACCCAGTTTTACGCATCCTTTTAGTTGAGGTTGTTCGTTGGCAACATCTATTAAAGTGAAGGAAAAGATGAAGACACATATATCTCAACTAGGTTGGCACCCCTGCCCTCACACCCAAACAACTTAACTCTAACAAAATATTATTAAAATGAAAATAAAAAAGAAGAAAAAAACCCAAAAAATTGAGAAACTACAAAACATATGTTTGAGTATCTCTAAACAGTTCAGCCATCTAGTAATGAGATTCTATGGAACAATTACGTTGTTCTTGAATGCCAAGTTTACGAGTTTAGAATCAGAATATAATCAAAGAATCTTCCAACCTTTCTTCTAATTCAATTCAATAGCTAGCATGACACCAACCAACTCTGCAAGAAGTAATGTTGAAATGCTAGTATACGATGCAAAGCAGTCTAAAGCCTCAACATTACTATTTTTGAAAATTCCACCACAAGCTGCTGCATGTCGAGGGCCCCTTCTTGGGGAGGATGCCATTTAACCTCACTGTGAGGATCTCTAGTAGGATGAGATTCAACCATGAAGGCCATGAGAATCAGAAAGCCATGAACTGATATAGTGTCCCTAGTGTGTTTGCCAATCGGGAAAACATTGGCAATAGTCATATTAATGGCTTGCTGGTAAGGAAATACTTTGTTGTCAAGAAGTGATGTTGAAATGCTAGTATACGATGTTGAAATACTAGTAGTGATGTTGAAATGCTCTGCAAGAAGTGATGTTGAAATGCTCTGCAAGAAGTGATGTTGAAATGCTAGTATACGATGCAAAGCAGTCTAAAGCCTCAACATTACTATTTTTGAAAATTCCACCACAAGCTGCTGCATGTCAAGGGCCCCTTCTTGGGGAGGATGCCATTTAACCTCAATGTGAGGATCTCTAGTAGGATGAGATTCAACCATGAAGGCCATGAGGATCAGAAAGCCATGAACTGATGTAGTGTCCCTAGTGTGTTTGCCAATTGGGAAAACATTGGCAATAGTCATATTAATGGTTGCTGGTAAGGAAATACTTTGTTGTCAAACCTCCACCTATTTTTGCAAAACTTAATATTAACAATTCATAAAATAACAGCTAAAATGATAGTTTTATACTTCTTGGAAAAAGGCAAGGTGCATAGTTGCAGAATAGTCAAATGAGAGCTTCTACCAGTCTGTAGATGAGTGATTTGACTAAATCAATGCCAAATATGTGAGGAAAAAGCACATATGTTGCGGCTATATGTTGGTCGATGTGGGATTGTTAACAATAATCATAACTATATTTTAAAATATTTATTTTCTCTCTTCTCTTTTTATCTCAAACACCATAACTTCAACTATCTAATACAATATGTGATATTTTTTTTGTTTGTTTTTCTAAAGTAGCAACAAAAGCAATTGCTCCATGTGTAAATGTTGTCATATAATATTTTTGTGTTTATGTTGCTGATTTTGGCAAAGTAAATGGTTATTATCTATTTTTACAGGTTTTGTATTATCTTGTTAGGGTTGAGCCATTCACTACCCTATCAATCAAACTACAAGGTGGAAAATTTGATCATGCAGATCGGATGTTTTCTGACATTTCTGCTACTTGGAATGGAGTTCTTGAAGACATGAGTGATGTTAAGGAATTGGTATTTGTTATTTATCTTCTTCAACTAAATGATTTGTTAATACTTAAAATACCTAGTAGGTACTCTTGAGATAATAGAAATCAATAGATATGGAAATATTTGTGTTTAACTCAACAGAGGAACTATATTATAGAATACAAATAAAAAAATAACATTATATACCTATGTTGTTAATATTGTATAGCAGCATGGAGCACTAGACTGAAAACTGCTTAAGCTACATAAAGAGGGTGACAGACGCTATAGTAGACTACAAACTAAACATAAATTCCAATAGCATACAAAAATGCTAAAAAAATACAAAAATACTCAAAATTAAATTGGTAGTTGCACTTAATTATCACCCCCTCTGTTCCTTTTTAAGTGTCATTTGTTTTACTTTTACACATACCAAAACAACTAGTAATTGTTGTTACTTTTTAAACAATGATTATTTTCTTGCCTATAATACCCTTAACTTTTTAGTAATATATTTAACTTTTTTCTCTCTATGTAGTAAATGATTAGGGGTAATTTTGACAAAGCCACAATCAATACTACTTTGAACTTTGAAATGACACCTTAAAAAGGAACAATTTATTTTCTTCTAAAAAGTAACACTTAAAAAGGAACGGAGAGAGTATAATTATGCTTTGGCATCTGTCACTAACATTCAAAATTATTGATATTTAAATTGAATAGTATATTCTGTAAATATAGCATTGGAATATTTCAGTAATAGCTGAATAGTTATTTACCTTGCCAACTGTATTTGACAGCTGTGTTTTTCTGTTAGACCTAAATTGTACATAGGATTAGAGTCAGTTATGGGAATGTTAGGAATAATCTAGATTCTGTTAGATATAACCTGTGCTCTGTGCACAAGATTAGAATTAGTTAGGAAAAGTTCACACTAACCTGTAGTTGAAACACACGGTTTCAACCTATGTCTCTCTCTCATTTTTTCTTATTCAACATGGTATCTAGAATTTATTGAGAGGATACTCTAAACTGTGATACTCAGTGAATCCATTCTTCTACGGTGAGCATTTTTCTTTAGACAAACCATGTCTCGACTCTGGTTATCCACCTCTCTATCGTGTGTTTTTTCGGTCACTGTTCATCATAACTGTACGCGCATATTGTTTGTCGACATTGTACATGCTGTGGTATTGTTCACGGATACAATTATTAATTACTTTTCATCGGTACTGTTTCTTGGATCCTGTTCATCACTGATTTTTTTTTTTTTTGTTTGCCTCTTCTGGTATTGTTTTGCTGCTGGTCTTTAGTTATCTATTTACTGATTATGGTAGCTATTCTTTTCACGGGCGCTCCTTAACATTGAAACCTCGTCTCAAATGTAAATATTGTCATCATTTGGGACATACTATTATTTGGTGCTAAAAACTACATGTCATCCCTCCGTGTCCTTACTTTGCCCCATCTCACACTATTCGAACCATGGATCCTCCTAAGGCTTCTTTGAAAACTTATTTAGATTTTTTTTCTGTTGGTAAAGCATAGCCAGAACTCATGATCTGTTGTTTCATTTGCACACACTAATAAATTATTTTTTTGCATTTCTGTCACATTTTCTTAGTTCGGGTTTTTTTTTTCCAATTCTGGTGCATTTCGTCGTCATATTAGTAGTAATAAGGTTATTTTCTGATCTCACTACATCTGGCACTCAAAGTTCTCCCTTCTCTTACTGCTCCACCTGTTCTTCATGTGCCTAGAAGTCCATTTAAATTAATTTTTCTCAGTCGATTGACTCACTCTCATGGATGAATTATCACTTTTGCTAATAAGAATGTTACTCGGCAGGATCGGATGTCTGGACGGCAAATTGGTGTCAAATGAGAGTATATTGACCTTTATTATCTAAAATCCTTCAACAACGTGCCCTACCATAGATTCCCCCTTACTATACACGCTCAGTTGGGTTGCTTAAGTCTTATTAAACTTCAAAGGTTTGTCTCTAATCCTTCCAAATTATCAACAAACGAGCTTCATCTCCTTTTAATTTAGTTCACTTTGATGTTTGAGGTCCTTCTCATGCTATCACCACTTTTAAGTCCGAATATTGTTACATTTTAATGATTTTTTCAGTTGCACATGGTTATTTTTAATGAAAAAAAGCTATGAAGTATTCTCTATTTTTGAGCAATTTAGCGTGTCTATTTAGTCTTTGCGTAGTGATAATGCCAAAGAATATTTATAGCCTCAATGGGATTCCTTACCAAACTTCTTGTGCCCATACACCTCAACAAAATGGGGGTAGTCGAGTGCAAACAGCCAAACACTGACATCTCATTGAAACCATTAAGACTCTTCTCCTTCTTGGTAAGGCTCAATCTTGTTTTCTAAGGGTTATTATGCTAATGACATGCTATCTTATGAATAGCATGCTCTCTTCTGTCTTAGATGATCAAGTCCTCCCCTCGTGCCTTTTTTCGAGTACCCTTTTACACTCGTTTTCGTTACGGGTCTTAGGCTTGATGTGTGTTGTCCACAATCTCTCTTGGTCTTGACAAACTCTGAGCCCGATCACTCAAGTGTGTCTTTCTTGGTTATCATTAGTCTCAAAAAGCTTATTGTTGTTACTCTCATACTCCCTGATGGTACCTCATTTCGGGTGATGTTACGTTTTGAGTCTGTTCCATACTTTGAGTCAAACCATGTATCTCCTTACCCACTTCTTGTCGCGGTACCTGCCCTTACGGCTATTGTGCCTCTTCAACTTGTCATGTTTGTCCTACCTGAGCCAATTGTTGTTATCCCTCCTACAAATCCTCTTGCGGATCGGCCTGTGGAACCATTTGTCAACCCTCCTGCATACCTTACTATACCACGATCTCTTCAAACATATTACTGTTGTCAGCCACCATCTGTTGTGCATACCCTGACACTTGTTCATAATGCGGAGGTCATTTCAAACTCTGATGCTAGTTGGGCAGGTTCACCTGTTAATATACGATATATTTTTGGCTATTATGTATTTGTGGAAAGAAATTTGGTATCTTAGAAAAGTAAGAAATAAAATGTAGTTGTAAGATTTAGTGCAGAGGCAATATACATGGCTCTAGAATTAGTAACATGTAAATTCATTTGGTTGATATAACTACTCAAAGAACTTTAATTTGAAGAGGCAAGACCAATGGCATTGATAATCAAGTTGCTTTGCATATTGCCTTAAATCTAGTTTTTCATGAAAGGAACAAACATAATGAGATAAACTATCATTTTGTTAGAGAGAAGATCAAATCAGCCGACATCATCACAAGCTTTGTGAGTTCCTGTTTTTCATGAAAGAATCAAACATATTGAAATAGACTGTCATTTTTGTCGAAGAGAAGATCAAATTTGTTGACATTATCACTTTGTCAATTCAAATGATCAGATAGTGATTTAAAAAAAAAATCTCTACGATGTTCTAAATGTTGAGGAGAATTTATTTTAGGGCTATGGTAGATATTTGTCTACGAAGAATTTGGTGCAACTCAAACTAACTTTTCATTAGAAACTAACAAGCACATGGACAAAAAGCATCTATTAAAGTGTCCACATGTATAGTGCAACGAACTCAAAGAATAATGGAAAAATGAACTAAAGCAAATAAAGACATAGCATGACGAGTGACGACTAACTTATTTTGGAAATGAACTTTGAATATGTTTCCTTGGTTGACATGACTCCGAAGGAAAATGTAGACAAAAGAAGAAAGACTTCGCACAAAATGCCAGACTTTGCCAATATATGGACGTCCTAATTGGGCATGTATGATGTAGGAGACTCCACTACCAAGCAAACAATGGAGGGGCTTGTCGAACAAAGTCCATCCAAATCAAATCAAGTATCAATCGCTCTCCCCAAACTCCATTTCCATAAGATGATAAAATCACAAGTGAAAGAAATATGGTAGTCAAGAGGACAGATTAAGCAACTTATTAAAAGAACATTTAATAGAGAACCGAGAACATAATGCAAATTAATTAGTGAGAGTGGGAAATAGATGTATCGTGCTATTTTCATGGATGTGATTTTATTTATGAACTATTAGAATTACCATTGTGTGCAGTTGTTGTAATGGGAGTAGACTCCCCCTCGATGTTGCTCAAACCACTTGAAGAAATTAGGATAGGCAACCACATACTGTCTTTGAAGAAAACAGGGTTTGGAGGTGTTAAGAGTCCCACATCGGACAATATATGGCATGAACATGTGTTAATAAATGGGGGTAATCCTCACTCTACCAGCCGGTTTTGTAGGGTTGAGTTAGGCCCAACCACAATTTCTTAACATGATATCAAGAGCCTCGTTTAAGATCCGGTGGGCCACCTTCTATGGTTTCCGCTATCGGGTCACCCACCATTTATTTCCACGCTTCAGTTGTCCAGTCCTGAGCGTGAGGGGGGGTGTTAAGAGTCCCACATCGGACAATATATGGCATGAACATGTGTTAATAAATGGGGGTAATCCTCACTCTACCAGCCGGTTTTGTAGGGTTGAGTTAGGCCCAACCACATTTCTAAACAGGAGGGATAATAGAAGAAGCAATGACCACAGGTCATATTGTGAAGTATTAGACTTTTAGCTTGACTAAACCCTTAAAGCTAGCTAAAGGGCTGAAGATTGACCAACCCTATAATATAAGGACCACTTTGGTCATGTCTCTAGTCAATGTGGGGATCACACCAGAAATTTGCCTGGCAGCAGAGAGCAGTAGTGATTGTAGAAAATGACTAATCTAGCCAGATGCATGGACAACAGCAGAGATTGGAAATTAGATATTAAACATCGGTTTTGAAATAAAGGTCTTATATGGTGGACAGTGGGTCAACCAGGTATTCATGATTACAGTTGCCTTTTGTCAGGCTCTAGATGCCAAAATGAGGGAATAGAGAGTGAGAGACATGGATAAATATGTGCAAACCACATATCAGAGGTATATCACAAAGATGACTATAAACAATACAGAGCTTTACAATCATCTTAATTACTCTAATTACATAATACTATACAATGCCTAATTAACCTATTTACAATATTTCTAATAAATACTCGTGTCTTTTTATAAGTTTAAGCATTAATGGGCTTGATAATTTTTTAGAACTTATATCTTAAATAATAATCATAGTCTTATTGAAATATCTTAATTTTTTTTTCTTTTTCAATCTTAACTTATTAGGTTCCAGAGTTATTTTACCTCCCTGAGGTCCTCACAAATGAAAATTCAATTGATTTTGGGACAACACAGTTGGGAGAAAAGCTTGGTATGCTCATTAAGGTTTCAGCTAATATTTTCAGAAGACATTGTTTTATATTCACATGCATATTGTAACTCTTGTTTGTCATTTATTTTTATATTTTCAGATACTGTGAAACTTCCTGCTTGGGCTGAGAATCCAGTTGATTTTGTGCATAAGCATAGGATGGCTCTGGAAAGTGAGTATGTGTCTGCTCATTTGCATGAGTGGATTGACCTCATATTTGGGTAGGTTTTTTTCATACTTTTCAGTTTCTCCCACTGCTTTTGGATTGACCTCAAGATTTTCTATTTCCATAAGTTTGTACTATCAATATAGAGATGTATAATGTTCCTTTTCAAATTTTCACTATTATTGTTCCATAACAATTTACACCTGATTATATTAATGACTTGGATCATACAGATATAAGCAACAAGGCAAAGAAGCTATTGCAGCAAATAATGTTTTCTTTTATATTACTTATGAAGGGACAGTGGATATTGATAAAATTTCAGAGCCGGTATGTATTCTTTTATTCATATTTTCAATTTAATTGGTTGTTTGAGTAACACACAATCTCAACTCCCAAAAATTATAGAGAATAGATAAGAATATTCCACATGAGTTATGAGAATTAATTTCTTCAGCTAAAAAATTGAAGTATGTGCTAATTATAGTATTTTGTACCACACTTTATGGGTGAAGAAAGAAGAAAACAAGAGTTTATGAGAGAATCCGTGTTTAAACGTTCATTTAGGCCCCATTATTTAAACATTCATTGTGTCGGAGTAATAAAAAATATGCTTAAAGTCTAATATAAAATTATAAGTTAGGCCGCATTAGTACATATTAAGATTTTTATACACCGGAGTGCTTTTACTGGAAAAGATGATCCCTAAATTTGTCAATAACTTGGCATCTGTGCAAGTTGTAGAAAACCGAGACAGATGCAGAAAAGATGAGATAAAAAACTTCTCTTTTTTGGTGAAAGGCAAAAGTCCTTTAAATTCCACTTCCCTGGCAGATTAAAATTTAATTTGTAGTGTTAGGTTTGTACTAGGTTTTGAATTGGACCTAACTCATTCTTACAAAACTGACTTGTAAGGCACCACGTGTCTACCTCCATCTAGGAGGTCTGATAAACCCAAAGTTTCAGGATAGATTGGTTGCTAGACCTGATTGGCCTTTTCTGGTTGTCTTTCGGCTTGTATTTTAGCAGATGTTTAGATTGGTTTATGTGGGTGGTTGGCTGGTGTGTTGATTTTGCTCTCATGCAGGCATGTTTCTGTCTCTGGGCTGGTGTTGCCTTTGGTTTTTTATTTTCTGTTTCTCTCTGACCTTTGTTTTTAGCCGGTTTTGTTTGCTTCCTGAGCACATCTCGTGCTTCTGTTGTATCCTGTACTTTTACCTTTTTTTCTCTTGCATTTTAATTTATTGGTTTGCTTTGCTATTAAAAAAAAAGTCTTGGCTCTTTCTATGTGAGACTTGAGTTTTCCAATAGACTGTCTCATGCCAAACATTATCCGAAAGACTGTCTTAACACGTGATTGCTTTGAGGGAGTGATACGTGGTAGACATGGGGATTGATAATTCTCATCTGAATGTTTATTTGCTTTGTGTATTTTTTCTCTTCCAGTTCCTGTGTCTGAGACTCTGAACTTATCTCAGCCTCTTTTCACTGCAGACCTTCTCTTTATCTTCTGAGAATCTATTTTTCATTTCACTTACGCCGAAATTAACTGATCACACCTCTTGCTAGACCGGTTGCTTTTTTAGGGTGTTTTGTGGTGTGTGATATATTACTCTACATCTTACCTTTTTTGCAACTTCTTACTTTCTTTCATGTGTGACAAGTAAAGGCACAACAGCGGGCTACACAAGATCAGATTGCTTATTTTGGACAAACACCTTCTCAACTTCTGAAAGTTCCTCATCTAAAGAAGATGCCTATAACTGAAGTTCTGCATTTGCAGGTAACTACTGACTGGATTAGTTTGACACAAACATCTAAGTATGCTTCCCTTGCCTCCTGCTTTTTCTCGTGTTTTTTGCATAATCAAGCATCAGCCTTTTAAAACTTCTTCATTTATTTAATTTATGTAGCATTGCAAACCACAATCTTGTTTGAAAACATACAATTTCCAAAAAGCAGAAAATTGATAATGTATCTTCGGTGGATGAAAAAAGGGTTTACCCTAACTTTGAATATGTTCGCATGTATGAAATATAATGTTTCAAATTGAATGTGTTTGGGTGTATAACATTATTTGAGGACAATTATTTTTTAGCAATATAATGGTATCTAGTTCAGATGGTAAAGTCTACTTCAGTTTTGCAAGGATTGGGTGGTGGGATCAAATTCCACTTTCATTCCTCTATAAATAAAACGTTTCTCTTTATGTTTCAAGATTTGTCCAAAACATTTGTGCTGATGAAGTGTATTTGGAATGCGCTTCTATGTTTCCTAGACTTTTGATGATGAGTGCATGTGATGTGATAATAATAGTAATGCATATATTTCTTTGCATGTCAAGACAATATTCCGCAACCCAAAAGTAGTCCAACCATATGCTGTTCCATCTCCTGAAAACTGCAATCTACCTGCGGCTGCCATTCAAGCGTCTTCAGATGTGATAGTGGTTGTTGATTGGAGTGCACCAGCAGCTCATGTTGCAAAACACAAGTGGCAACCTAATACACCTGATGGCTGTGGTACTCCATTCCTCTTTCAACATGGAAAAGCTACATCTGGCTCTGGCGGCAGAACACTAAGGCGTATGTTCAAAGGGCCTTCAGGGTCTGGTGAAGAGTGGCAATATCCTCAAGCATTGGCATTTGGTGTTTCCGGAATTAGAAGCCAAGCAATCATCTCAATAACTTGTGACCAAGATATTATTACTGGTAAATCTAGACAAGCTAGGATTATTCAGATATGCTTCCTATAGTATTATTTTAAGAAATGATCTCTTATCAAATTATTTAACATAAAGTTAATAACCATTGGAGTGCCTCATGCCTTGCAACAAGGAATAATTAGATCAAACCATTTATCAATTAAGGATTTTTTTCTCAAAGCGATGAATGAGTGGGGGTTTCTTGATGTTAAACAGTACCTGTGTGGCATTATCTTTTGTGTTTGTTTGTTCTAGTATATCACTATATAAGGCAGAAAACTTTATGTAACATCACATCTTTACGGTTACACTTTTTAGATATAAAAAGTTATATTTTAACAGTTCAGACCTCTTGGAGTATTTGCAGGATGTTAGAATTAAATAAAACTGTAGATATTCTAGATTGATTGTTCGTGTTCATTGAGTATACAACTTCCTAATGTAGTGCTTATTCATTAGACATTCAATAACATTATAAATACAAGGTGTGGTCTAAGTATAGTCACAGAGAATTTACACCTTTACACAGGAAAATACCTATTAATTGAAGCATTGACAAAACAAATTGAGCACTTATTGCAGCATCCTGTATATTAGTTTTAGCCACATCTTTAAATAGATACTTCAACTATGCAGGCATTTTGGCAAAGTTGATTTTTCGTTTGAGTGGTACTTGCTAATTGTACTGGGCACTGGCTAGGTATTTTGTTTCTAACCTGAAAATTTGACTTTTGATTAGGTGGGCATGCCGATAATAGTATTAGGGTGATATCTTCTGATGGAGCCAAAACCTTGGAAACAGCCAATGCGCACTGTGCTCCAGTAACTTGCCTTGGCCTTTCATCCGATAGTAACTACCTGGTGTCAGGATCCCGAGATACAACAATGTTACTATGGAGAATACATAAAGCACTTGCATCTCACTCAAGTGTCATATCTGAATCTCCGTCATCCAGCAGTAACTCTTCTCCTCATTTTATAGAAAAGAATCGTAGACGTCGTATTGAGGGTCCATTACAGGTACTTCAAGGGCACCAAAGTGAAATACTCAGTTGTTGTGTCAGCTCAGATCTTGGAATAGTGGTTTCTTGCTCCGACACATCAGATGTTCTCGTGCACTCTATAAGAACGGGACGTTTAGTTCGAAGGCTGGATGGTGTGGTAGCCCATACTGTTTGCCTTTCCTCTGAAGGGGTTATCATGACCTGGAATGAATTGCAGCGTGCTCTCAGTACCTTTACTCTTAATGGTGTTCTAATTACTAAAACAAAATTATCTTTCTCTACCAGCATTAGTTGCATGGAAATTTCTCATGATGGGAGGAATGCTTTGATTGGAATTAATGGTGGGGCCGATGGTGGGAATTTGCAGTCAAGTAAGTCAACTGCTGTTGATTTTCATTCAGAACAAGATACTCAGGAAAGCAACAGCATAAATGTTCCAACACCAGCAGTTTGCTTCCTGGATTTGCACACTCTGGAGGTACAATATAAATGTTTAAAATGAAATGCCAAAAATAAATCAAGAACCAGTCTTTCTTTCTATTTTTTTTTTTTTTTGAATAGTCATAGAAAACATCTATAAATTTGAGTTTACAAATAAGATAGCTGACTTCAAAAAAGTAATGTGAAGCTTTTTCATCAAAGTTAGATATTTTCTGCATATTCATCATTTCACTTCCATTCAGAAAATAATCTTTCTATGAACCAAAAACTAAAGTATGTGTAGCATCTTATTTAGAAGGTGAGGCTTGGACCAAAAGAAAGGTTGTCTGCTGACTTGTGACTTGTAGGTCACGGGTTCAAATACTAGAAACAACCTCTCCTGTGGAGTAAGGTTGTATACATCTTCCCTTTCTGGTGACAGATTCGTGCAATAGGCCACCGTTTTTCAGAAAGCCATCATAAATCAAGCAATTTTTTTTAGCGGGGAAGGGGTTTTGCATTCTGAATCTTGTAAACCTTTAGAAATTAGAGTCACTGTAATGGCTGTTACCATTATTCTATGCATCTCCTAATGCCAAGCTAACTACTCTACCATACTATTTTCTGTAGGTTTTCCATGTATTGAGACTGAAAGAAGGACAAGATATTACAGCTCTTGCTCTAAATAAGGATAATACAAATCTTTTGGTTTCAACATCAGATAAAAAATTGATTATCTTCACTGATCCAGCTGTAAGTTAAATTACTGTTGATCAAGATCATTGTCAAATAGAAATTGTAGCTTAAGTTGAATCACTCTTTTTCTATATTCACAGCTTGCCCTTAGAATGGGTATTCGTACAATCCAACATAAAAATATTCACTGTTTTTATACATATACTTTGTTAAATCTTAGTTGAAATACCATGATTATACCTCCAATCCACCATAATAACACTACTAACAATACCTTCAGTATATATTTTATTATATAACATGGCTGTAACTCTTTAGCTTATTGGCTGCAGTTAAGCTTGAAAGTGGTGGATCAAATGCTCAAACTTGGTTGGTAAGAGGATGGGCTTAGGCACCTCATAAAGTCAGCTTTTGGGGTATCCAAAAATGGTATACATACAGATCTTTTATACATAATAACAACTAGGAATGTCATAATGGGGATGTAGCACTCCTGCTTGTAAGCAATTTTGTTTGGTTCCCATGGTTCAGAAATGTCTTGTAACATATGCAACAACTAACTCTTACCATAACAATATTTGACCTTCGATGTAGCTTTAGTATAAGGTTAGTCTGCTCTCCCAGTTGTGCTTAAGTATAAGTATTTTACAAGCTCCTATCTGAGGTTTGGGCCTAAGAATTTTCTTACTCCAGATTTTTTATGTATCATAGTCAATTGAAAACAGGGTTAAATAGTTTCTCTCTCTTCATTTCTTACTCCCATTAATAATTTAGATGAATACTTTTGTTTTTTCAATTAGTAATATTAAATATATTTTTTAAATAATTAAATCTAAAATAAAAAACTTTAATGACATATATTATATATTAATTCAAATCAATAATAACACCTAAATCATTACAATTCCACGTTATTATTGAAGTAGCCCCATCAACAAAATAACTTAATATGAAGGGACCAAAATATTACAAAAAAGACCAAAAACCTAGTTTTAAAAGTATTAGGGTTTATTATTAACCTCCTTCATTGGTGACCTCCACCTTAAGCAACTCTTTACTTTGGTATGATATTTAGTGATTTGATAGATCTTAAAGATTGAAAATAATTTTATATTTTGTTCATTGTTATGTACAAGAGAGTTACACTTTAATTTTGCTATGTAAGTTTTGAGCACAAATCCTTACAAAATGATACCTTTAATGTTTGATGAATATAGTCACCCATCACCATATAAACAAGCATATTTTATTGAACAATTTCCTTCTAATCCCTGTGTAATGCTTTGATTTCAAGACCTCCATCAATATGAAGATTTATCATTGTCTTATAAGTCACATTTTTTTCCTCATCATTTAATTTGAAACGAAAACACCCTAATAAAACAGCTGAGAATATCTTCATCTGTCTATAAGCAAACTCTTTCCCTAAGCATATCCGAGGACCAGCCTGCATATGAATCAAAACTCATTTCAGCATATGCTTTTGCAAAGGAACAAGTTTGAATTAATGCTACATGTGCATTGTAAAACTCTACTAACCTGAAAAGCGGTAAACTTGAAAGGGCTTTCTGGCTGAAAAATGCCATTTTCATCAAGCCATCTTTCTGGTCTAAATTCCTCTGCATCATCACCCCATATGAATTTCATCCTCCCCATTGCATAAGGTTGGTAACACACCATGTCTCCTTTTTTTACACTATATCCATCTGGTAATGTATCATCAGAAAAACAAATCTTTGCATCCTGTACCATGAAAACAATCTTGATAATCACATTCATACTATAGGCCAAGTCATATTCAAAATCTATCTTACCACAGGAACTGCAGGATAAAGTCTGAGAGTTTCTGTGAGTGCAGCATAGAGATAGTTCATCTTTTCAATAGCTTCATCTGTTACCCTTGAAACAAACTCAGTGCAGCTACTAATTGTTTTTGTGTTTGTTGCTTCTCTTACTTCTTCTGCAACTTTTTCTTGTACTGCAGGGTACTTGCATAGCATGTAAATGAACCAAGAAAGCGTGGCGGCTGTCGTGTCTTTCCCAGCAATAACAAAGTTTATAATTATATCTCTTAAGTATGTTGTATCAAATTCCTTCACTTGCAGAAACCTCGAGAGAATATCTCCACTTTTTCTCTACGTCGAACATGCAAAAGTGAAAAATACATTGTTTCATGATAAATACATATGAAACACTGACACAGATAATAGTTTGAGAAAATGGTATAATTGAATGTTACAAGGAATTAAATTTTCGTAGTTGTAAACAGTAGGCTTACGACAGAATCACCGTTTGAATTCTTCATTTGCTGAATTCGGGTGTTGATTAGCTTAATGATGAATTCATTTAAGACTCTAGTGTTTTTCTTTAATTCTGCCTCTGATCCAATATTTAGAAACTTCTTTATCTTCCAAAAGACATCAACATAACGATAAAGCGTTAACGCGCTTGCAGAATCGAACGCATTGGCGAAACTCTTCCCTTCTTCATTTGTTCCACACATGCTGTCCAGTTCAGTTCCAAATGCAACTTTGAAAATTGAATCCAGTGTTGATTTCATGAAAAGATCCTGCATAAATTAATAGAGCAAGATAACATGCTAACATAACAGATAAAAGAAAGCAATTTGGTATCATCTTTCGAATAATTTATTTACTCACTTGAATTTCTAACTTAGTATTGGAAATTGCAGCTTCAGAAACAATATTTGCAACTTTTGCTGCATTCTTTCTGAATATCAAAGTACTGAAATCCCTTAACATCTTGGTGGAGAATTCATGACTTGATATCTTCCTTTGTTCACGCCATTTCTCGCCATCGACCGTGAAAATCCCATCTCCTAGTAAATCCTTCAAATTGAGGTAGTTGTATAACCCCTGAGTAGAATTTTTTAGCAAGTTTTAGACATAAATATCAAGAAAACCATATTCCTCAGCCTAACCATAGATCTAACAATTTATCAAAAACCTAGTAAAAATTTCAATACTTAATCCATTCTACAAAGGATCCAAATTCCCTTCGGTACAAAATGCAGAAAGTAAGCACCGACACCAAAAGACAACAGTCGACACAAGTAATAATTTAAAAAGACCAAAATCTTTTGTGACTAAAATTGGATAGTAACACAACTCATTCATATAAACTAGTAAATTATTCATAGAGTAAAATTCAGTGAGAAATATGACAAATCTACTAACCTTCCCATAATTGTCAAAATTGATTTTGAGTATATACTCAACATTGTTTGGTTCAGCAGTATAAATTTCATTTCTGAAAGGGTTAAGCAACCTGTATGTCTTGTACTTTCTTGCAAGATCAGTCATATAATGGTGAAGTGTGTTGAAGTTCATCAACTGATTAAATACAGTTCCAGCAACAGGATGATATTTCTTATTGTTTTTGTTCAATTTTCTGAATAGAAACTGAAGCATTAAAAGAGTTAAAGATGCAGAAAAAACTGCAAAAAGATAAGGATTTGACTGAATATCCATGGAAGGTAATGGAAATTTCATGGTTTGTGAGTTTAGGAAGAAGATTATGTTGTTGCAAAGTCAAAAGGTTCTTTACTTGCTAATGTATTGATCCCGAAGTTAACGGATAAATACAAATTTTTTATTTCACAAAAATTAACTTGTATAAACATCACATTATCTTAAATTATGAGAAAAAACTTTAAAAAATTAAATAATCTTTTGATCTCTATAAAATATCGAGTTTTTTTTTATTTATATTTTGGTTTCTAAATTATTATTATTTTTTAGATGGAGTCTCAATAGATTACTTATTTGTTGCTATTACCATTAAAAGAAAGTGTGTGGCTAACGTTGCTCATTTAACTTCTATTTTATAATTTTTCTTTCTGACACTTTTTAACCATGTAGTTCAAATATTTCTCACCAAAAATATGTCATAAAAATTCATTTTACAAGTTTTAGTTTTAGTCTTTATAAATTAGAGTTTTAGAAGAGGAAACATTTGTGAGCTATGTGGGAGTTGATTGCAAGGAAGACACGTCTGTAGACGGCGAATGTGGTAGACGAATCAAATATGCATTTGAGCAAGACGATCAATTCAACAAGGTATGAGTTTTTATTGTGAACTTTTATTACTGGAGAAAATTCGTCAAGGACAATGTAATATATTATCTAGGTAGGAATGAACATATAATAGACATTGATTCTTATAAGTGAAGCTTCTTTGAAACTAATGGTATCGTGAAAGACCTTTGTGAGCTTGAGCATTTAGAATATTGGTTATGATGGTATAACAATGAATCGAATATGCACAAAAGAATGGTTAGTAATAGTGATGTTGACGAGGTTTATAAATTTTCTATTGAAATGAAATGTGTAGTGGACATATATGTGTAACACCCCAAAATTTGTCTTCTCTGTTCAACCCTAACTGACTTATGTTTCATTCATTTGCATCATCATTAATCACACCATATCATTGGTGTTTGAGACATGAGATCAAATTATTACTGTGGCTCAGGACTTTCTTTTATTCTAAGTTTTAAGTAGTAAGTGTCAGAGGTTTCATCATTTATTTTGCTCAGCGATCGAGCACTAAATTATATTTTTCAGTCAGATATTTTGGGTGCAAGAGATAATTCACAGTTTATTTCAGGCATTATTCAGGTGCAATATCAGATGATAAGTTTCAGAGGCCAAATATACTCAGAACAAGTGGCAGCGGGCGATTCTCTAAGTTTCCATCTTTAAGGCGCCAAAATTTGAAAATTTGAAGGTGTTAACCGATTAACCAATTTGCATGGCAAATGGTTAACCGGTTAACCAAGGTGAATTTTGTCTAAGAACTACATTTTTCAGCGCTGTAGAATTTGATATCCCATTTTGATCATTTGAATGCACATTTTACACCAGTTGGAAGGATCTATAATTGATTCCAAAATTTGATTTATTTTTCAATTAATTCAAATTCCTGTAAGTAGAGTTGCACCTAAGAGGGGGGGGGGGGGTGAATTAGGTACTAAAAATATTTTTCCGGTCTTAATGAAGATTTCTTGTTTTACTTTTCTAAAAGTTACTAAGTGTTGAATGCAGTAAAAATGGAAAGAGACACGGCGATGTATCCTGGTTCCCCTCACAGCCCGAGAGTACTCCAGTTCCCTTTCAACACGAAAGAGATTTTTCAATATTGTTAGATCCTAAGATAAGACTTCTACCTAGTCTTTCTTATACAAACTCTAACCAATCAAAAACACCAAGAACAATCCTCTTAGATTTTTCACTAAGTCCAATGAGAAAAATCCTCTCAAAATGGACTTCTTGCTTCCAACAATCCTGGACAGCAAGGTTACAACCTTACAAACTTATTTCCAACAATCTTGAAAAAATAAGATGTAATCAAAGAACAAATTATTCTGATTTCAGTATGTTGCAACAATATTCAATTATTAATCTTGCAACTGATCTTCTTCTTGAGATATCAACTCTTATATATCAAATACAAGTGTTCAAAAATAAAGGAATGAAACTATGATGAAATAATGAAATTTAAGGTGCAGTAGTTTCACTCTTGAAAATTGAGAATTTTTGACACTTGTGAAAATTTGAAATTTGAGAGATGAAATGAAATTTGAATTTTTGCAAGAAGGTTAATCTCAAAGTCTGAGATTATGAGGTATATAAATGTCTCTAAATACCTTTTCAAAAGAGTGCAAATAACCAAGAGTTGTCATGATTCAAGAAGAAATGAGAAAACACAATTCTGCCAATAGATGTAATTTTCTGGCTCACTGCGCCAGTAGTAACCGGTTACCATATGTGGGTAATCAGTTACTAGCCTCAACGTTTGAAAAAGTTTGAAAGTTTACACAGAGTAATCGATTACTAGGAATAGGTAACCGGTTACTCTAAACAGGTTTTGCAAAAATCACTTTGAAGCAGAGGCAAAAATGCATTGTAATGGTTTTAAAACAATTTTAAAATGATATGCAAGAATGAGAGATGAAGTTGAACACTTGTACAAGCTATATAGAAGCTGAATGTTGTACCTTCATTTGTGTAGAACTTTGTCTTCATTCTTTAACAAGTCTTGATATATTATTTTGACATTGAAGTTCTTCAAGCTTGACTTCTTTGAGATTCTTTTATCCATCCTTATATGTTGTAAAGTGTGTCATCATTAAAACCGTTTGAGAAACCATGTCTTCACAGTCTCCCCCTTTTTGATGATGACAACATCTTCTTTGAAAGTTTTTACGGCTTTTCTAACAAGTGCTCAAGTGCTCCCCTTCGGATGATGCTCCCCCTTAATCTATGATTTAAGAGAGTCTTGAAATTAGCTGCAAAATTTGTTAGAAGAGTAAAAACACAGTATACACACATACAAACATATGAAATTTTTCTCCCCCTTTGTCAACAACAAAAAGGATGGGAAAGGATTTTCAACAAGAAACACATGTGGACACAAAACTAAAGACAAGAACATAAAGAAGAACACAACATGTCACAAATACGAAACCAAAATGTAACGAACGAAATTGAACATAGTGTACGAGTTTACAACCCAAAAACATAATCAAATAGAAATTATTGTACAATCACTTTCAGACATTACATCCTCATCTTCATTTTCTTCTTCTTCTTCTTCTTCTTCTTCTTCTTCTTCTTCTTCTTCTTCTTCTTCTTCTTCTTCTTCTTCTTCTTCTTCTTCTTCTTCTTTCCGGAGAGCTTGAAGTTGTTGCATAGCTAGTTGTTTGAACATTTTGCGCATATAAGCCATGTCTTTCCTATGTTCCCTTGCATTAAGATCAACTTTGTTCTCAAGAGATACTATCTTTTTGTAGATAGACTCATTAGTGTAGCCTTCTTAGGGAATAATGGGCAGCAGTAGAAGAAGATGAAGCATCCTTTGTAAACATACTGTTTTTCATCATTTTGAACAATACCAGCATTCTTTGTAGTTGTGGTGACATTGATTTCATTTGCCCTTGATGTCATCATGGTTTGTGGTTCCCGTTGAAGACGAATGAAGCTTGCCTCTAGAATGATGGAAATGATTTTCCCATAAGGATGTCCTCCAACAAGAGATTTGATATGATGCATAAACACATATGCCCAATTCACCTGCAAATTCTTCTTAATCGCAAACAGGAGCTGAACCTCCATATTGTCATACCCCAAATTTGTCATACTTTACCATTCTCTTACATTTAACCCACATATTATTTCGTGGTCATTCTCATCGGGACTTTAGCCACAAACTTTTAGCATGTATGTCGAAGAACATTTGTATGTGTGTATTGTGACTAAATGTCCTTTGAAGATGTGGCGAGTTCTTGTGGAGGGGTGTGCTTTCATTTTCATGATCAAACCATACGTTCATCCGCGGCAATATTTGGATCATTTTCAAAATATAAAAGGATTGTTTTTTTTAGGCCATGCGAGTTAAGTTAAAGTCTTGATTAAAGGATTCACAGTTGATGAAAGGTTGATGCCCAAGATTAAATTTGGATTTAAGTGATTATTTGCAAAATTCAAGTGGGTTGTCCTTTAGTTATGGCGGGCTTATGTTAGGAAACAAAGTTTGAATTAAATTACAAACTATATGTGATTTATTTTCAATTTACAAATACATGCCAGCTTTTGTTTTGTGAAGACAGATCGTGGTCAAGAAATATTGAGATTCAAGTGGGTGTTTGTTGCCAAAGTTTGGTACAACTCAAGTTCAAAATAATAATATTGCATACAAAGATCTATTAAAAGACATGGCACTACATTAAAAGTCACAAGTTTACAATGCCTAAAAGAGGGTGAATTCACGAGCCAAGGTCCTTTACGTCAATTGTCTTAAGGCACCTAGGAGAATTCCTATTACAAGTTGTTCACCCATTCATAGCAGACACCAAAATGTGCATAACCAAACTTCAAATGCACAGTAAATAAACACCAGCCGACCACAACTTCATAGGACCTGCACAAAAGCAACAAAAGTGACACAATACACAAGGTGGACAATATTTGGAGATAAAATAACAAGACAGTCAACAAAGTCCCATAAATGTGATGAATTCGATGGCCCACAAAGGTCATTAATGACAGTCACTCCCTTCAATGCTTCCAGCAAACAAATGCCATAATAAAGAAGGAAATTCAATATAATGGAAATTGAAAAGCTACAACATACACTCATAGCTAGCCGCGGATACGACAAAATCGCCAGCTTTGCAATCCTCACCTAGGACCCACCATTTCACCTCAAGGCTGTCATAAAAGTTTTGCTACAAGGTTCACGTACGATAAAATTGAAAAGTAAACACATCCCCAAGCTGGCCCACCGATCTATATCTGCAGCAGACATCACCATCACTTTCGTAACAGTCCAAAACTCTGCAATAAGGGCAGTCCATAAACATGCTGTAGCGAAACTCCCAGCAAGTCTGATACACCACAGAGTGGTCCCAAGCGTTCGTTACGGCCATACATCTACCTGCATGAAAAAAAAAGAAAAAAAACACAGTGAGAATGAAAGCTTTAAGTGCAAC